CAAACTACTGTAGGATCTGGTTAGAGAATTAAAAGAAAAATATTTCTTTGGCAATATTAAACTTGAGATTGAAGTGCATGAGAAGAAATGTACTTGGAAAGACCAGTTAAGAGATTGCCCCGTATCTGGGTAGTAGATATTTATGCTAACCCAGGGAATAGGATTTGATTCAGCAAAGGTGCTGGAAAATGATGTAGGGATTAACACAGTAACTAAGAGGACTTGCTATCCCATCACTATGAAGATGGCAGTGAATTAGCAAAAATGAAGGAAGAAATGCCTGGTTTTATAGATATATAAAATATATATAGTATATAGATATATAAAATATTTATAGTATATTTATTAAAATCTAAGAATAAGATATAATGATACATTCCAACACATTGAGAAAATTCTGGTTAGAGAATTAAAACCAAAGTCCTTAGCCAGTGGAGTCAAATTATTTTGAAAATAGATAGATACAAGTAAGAAGGACAAAAATAAAATTATGTAGTGGCTTCTATATGCCAGTTCTTCAGTTCTTCACATACATCCTCTTTAATCACCACAAGCCACAGAAAGCACAGATTCTATGTCCATTTAACTTGAGTACATAATTGCCATAAATTCCCCACAGCACAAGTGTGGGGAATAGGCAGGGATTTCTCAAGGATAACGCCCTTTAGGGTTCTTCCTTGGCATAACATGGAGTGTGAAAGGTCAATATTCATTTTATTGAGAGAGCTCCAATCAGAAAGAAAAATAAAAACAAGCCCAAAGCCACCTCAGAACCATTTTTTAGAAATGACCTGACCAATAAATTAATAGATAAAAAAATAACCATGATGTCCCAGATCCTTGTCCGGCCTCAACAGCCAAGTGAACACAGATAATTCCCTGGACTCCGTGACTGCAACCCACAGAAGACACACAAACATTACCATCCAGCATGCCCATAGGCAGGCACACGTACGCATATGCCTCTGTGTGATACACTCTGATATTTGTTAGAATAGCCTAATCCAGGGGCCCTCCCTGTAGCACAGTGGGTGAAAGCACAGCAATATGAAGATGCAACCACCTCAGCGTGAGTTCAATCCCTGGCCAGGAGGTGACCCACAGGGTGTGGCAGATCTCTCCTGTCTCCTCTTGCTCCCCTCAGCAGTGTACTTCGTCAACCTGCCTGCTCTGCTCCCCACTCTGTCTCTGGTGAATCCTCTCACCAAACCCACACCTCTGGCCTGTACCCCAGTTCTGTATGCATAAATAAATAAATCTTTAAAAAGAAAAAGAATAGCCTAATCCTTTCCTTTTATGCTACTGCTGTCTGGGGCCTATAAAATTGATTTAGTTGGCAGTGATCTCACAGTTTGGAAAACATTCCATTTTCTCACTTGAATAAAAAAGAAAAAACACCACTTGCCACAGTGCTTCTCTGGATGAAAAAGCAGTGTAATTTTCCAAAGTGTACTCTGTGGGTGGCTCCATTGTTTTCAAGTGACTTGGGAGGTTCTGTACCCTCTTTTCAAAGAAATCACTCAAATTAATATATCAAAGGCTTTCAAGTCCTACTGTTAAGAAGCTTGTTCATTCCAAATTATTTGACCACAAAGTCCTATTCATCACACACCTATTTAGATAAGCTCTTGGGAAATAATTATGTAATCCCATTTTGAAACTATGAACTATAAGCTATGTTATTATTATTGGCAAAGTCTATCATTATCACAGAACAAACACTTCAGATCTTAAGATTTTTCTTAGTCTGACTGGATGCAACTGTCCCTTGCACTGTTTTGGTGCTGGAGGGAAATAGGTTTTTCTATTCCATCTGCTTCTCCACCAACTACAACTATAGTATCACAAGATTTCTATGGGTCTGAAACACTTGAGACATTTAATTTCAGCCTCTTACTGGCAATTGAAAGTTGTTTTGTTTAAAAGAAGCATATGTCACATGACAAAATACCATGGGTTTGAAAGAAATACCATTTGTGTCACATCCGTTGGCAAATATTTTTCAGTGCTGAGAATGCAAACTGACAAACTGCATAAAATCTGAACTGCCAAAACAAAAGCTAAACAAGACATGGAAAAAAGTATTTTAAAAAATTAGCTTAATGAAATAGGTAATTGAGCAAATAGATTCTGCTGTCAGATAAAGAGCATTTCAATGCATAACCTACTCCAGATGCTGAGGGAAGAATGCCAATTTACTGAATCTTGGATGCTCAAGAACCACAAAGTGCCTTGTTGCAAATCCAGTGACTCCCTAGCTACTAGAGCGATTCATAGCACACGGAGGCCCCCTGTTGTCGTCAGGATAAAGGGTGGCATACCACACTCTTCCTGTGACAACCTCTGCTTATCCCTCATTTCTTCCCTGTCTTCGCCTTCTTACTGCTTCATCAACACTGAAGTGCTAGAGCTGCCTTCATGAATCATTCCTGTTCTACACAGAATGCCTTCCACCCACTCTGACGACACAACATTGAGAATCATCTTTGATTCGACTTCCATCAGGAAACTTTCCCAGGCTTTTTTTGGGGGTCCCATTTCTATGGATAGTGCTCTCATTTTCTGTTCCATCAAGCAAGGGCCTCACCTTTATCACTGAACTCAAGACACTGTTTGAAACATGTGTCTGTGGTACCTCCTCATCCTCCAGATTGTAAGTTTTCTAGAGAACAAGGAATATGTCTGATCCATCTTTAGTTCTCCTGAAGCTACCAGCACACAAGAGATGCTTAATAAATGCTCAAATGCGGGCCCTCCCTGGTGGCACAGCGGGTTAAAGCACCTCACTAAGAATCGAAAGCTACCTCCGCATGAGTTCCATCCCTGCGGGGTGGGGTGGGGGGGTGATCCTCCTGGCCTGCCTGCTGCTCCCTTCAGAAATGTACCTCGTCGATCTGCCTGTTCTGCTCCCCATTCTATCTGCGGTAAATCGTGTCACCCCCCCCTGCACTGCTGTCATGTACCCCAGTTCTGTAGGCACAAATAAATAAATCTTTAAAATCAATCAGTAAATGCTCAAACGGAAGATTCAGTAAGCTTTGGGTGTTATCTTGGCTCCAGTTGTGGAGCCAAGTAATATACAGATGTTCAAAAACACTTAACATCTGGGATATGCTTAAGGATTCACAGGTAAAAGATATAACCAAAGTAGTATAATTAACATTTTGGAGTTAACATGTTTAAGACTATATAATACTGTGAGACAGATTATTATGATAGAATCAAAACACAGATTCAGATGAGTGCCCATTCTACCTGATAGAATTAAGACTATATGGAATAATTAATAGCTCAATTTAGATAGGTTGGCAGGGGCTTCCCTGGTGGTACAGGCATTAAGTCTCAGCGCTATCAAGCTATTGCAAGCCACTGCTGTCTGAGTTTGATCCCCACCAGGGAGCTAACTTACATGGTACAGCAGACCTCTTGGGTCACCTGCTGCTCCCTTCAGCAGTGTATTTCAGTCAATCCAACTATTCTGCAGCCTGCTCTGTCTCTGGTGAAGCCTATCACCCAATATGTCTAGCCTACACCTCAGTTCTTGTATGCAAAAATAAATAACATACATCTTTAGAAAAAATAGTTTGGCAATAAAATAAAGATTTTAAGTGGCTTTGGAGTCAGAGTTTCCAGTTTATCGCTTACACTTTGAGCAAGTTATTAACCTCTCTGAGCTTCAGAGAGGTTCTCTGTGCTCCTATTTATAGAAAGGAATACAAATCATTCCTCCCTCAGGATTGGCATGAGCATTCAGTGAGATAATACATGCTTAGTACAATGCCCAGTAAGTAATAAACACTCAATCACTGCTACATGAAGTGTACCAGACCCTACAGGACACCTTTCAAGTTAAACAAGACCAGGACTTCATAGCCCTGGGGCCATGGGTGTGATGGGGAATGGGGTGGGAGGCAATGATTGAACTTTGTGTCCCAGAGACTGACCAGTGGAACACCTTGTTAATAAGATTGGAACCTTGCATGGCTAGGGGGTTGGGAGCATAATTTACTTGATCCTCAGACTCACCTTCCCTAATGACCTAAATAACATAATTGTATTCTTGGTTTGACCCACTCTTTTCTCTTTAGTCTATCAATAAACATGGCAGGATCTTGCTCTTCCAATAACATCCTGCATTACAGTTCCCTTCATGACCCCTGTTCTTTGTCAGTGTGGTGGTGTCACTGCAACAACTGGTGACTCTTATTTTACTGCTACAACCCAGACACTAAGGGATACATTACAAGGAGCAATTCTGAAAAGAGGTGGGATGGGGGCAGTTCTAAAGATGGTGTCAGCTAGCAAATGCCTGGGTTTGGGGAAACAGTGTTTGTTCAGGAGAAGGTAAGAACAAATGAAGTTGAAATTCGATTCAATTATCTGGCAAACAGACTATTACCTTTAGAGGACACTTGGTATAAAAGGCAAAAATGATGTATTTAAGAAGAAGAAGACCCATCTCCTAATTCAAACTTTACTGTTACATAACTTAAATATTTAGTTTCATTGAGATTCAAATCTGTAATAAAAGGATAATTAATGATTGCCCGTTTTCCACATGCACCCACAGTTAATATTACGAAGTTTTTCTTTTCTTTTCTATCAAGTTGGAATAGTGTCTTAATATCCCCAACAGGATTCTTAGCATCTTATTTCAAAATGCCTGATCTGGTTTTGGTAATACCTTTTAGCCATCTCTGAACTAGATGCTTAGTAATGTCCTTTTAGCTCTAAACAATTAGCTAGAATCTAAACAATTCTAATTTTGTTTGGTAATTAAAGATTTTTATGTTTTAGGGTTTCTTTTTTACTATCATTGGATGTTTTATTGCATTAGAGAGAAACATTTAATTGTAAATCATGTAGAACTATGCTCAGGCCTAATAAGATAATAATGATTACATATGTGTTTTTTATAGAGTTATCATAAATTCACTTAATGTAAAGACAATTCATCTATGTTCAAAATTGAACCTAATTTGGGTTTCATTTCATTTCAGACCTGAAAATTCATCTCCAAACCACTGACTATGGCAACTTCTTGGCTAATCAAACAAATCCTCTTACTGTTTCCAAAATTGACACTGAAATGAGAAAAAAGCTTTGCAGAGAATTTGAGTATTTCCGGAATCACTCCCTGGAGCCCCTGAGCACATTTCTCACCTACATGACGTAAGTGAGGGCAGGAAGCCCTATTAATCCCCAGAGTGAGCGTGCAAAGGAACCCTGAACAGTGGCAGGTGGGGTTTTATTATTTGTAAGTTTAGATACAAAATCATAGTAATACCGAAATGTCAGGTTTTCAGATCCCTAGCTGCAGTGGCAGCGCTCAGTCCCGCCCACTAGACCACCTCGGATTGGTGTCTCATGAAACCGCAGCAGGAATTTAGCAGACGCTCACGCAAGCAAATGAAGAGGCAAATTTATTTAGAGGATGAAAAAGTTTATTGAGAAAATGAACAGAAATAAAGTCCAGGGAGGGGCACGGGACCCCAAGTGGAGTCGCACCACAGGGAACATAGACCTTCTTTCCCTAATTATTTATTCTAGGGCTCCACCAGTCTCTTGGTGATTGGCTGGTTCTCAGTGGTCTCGCTCACTGCTTTAAAGTCTCTGTGCCTAGAACTGAGTCGCTGTGTCCCACCCTTATCTCAGAGCCCTTTCTCTTTATTGTCCTTGTTCTGGAAGGTCCTGTTGCCCTTAGTGCTGGGGTGTTCGATTAGTTCCCTTTGAAAATTGTTGCCCTTATCTCTGGATGTAACATGAGTCAATTTACTAGACATCTGTTAACAAGTAAATTCTTTCCATTATGAAAAAATTGGCAATTGGTTTACTACTGTGTAGGTCGTAAAGTTATTTCCAAGCTGTATCTCTCACAATGGAAGTAATGAATCAAAGGAACATCCTTTAATTTTAGTAAATTTGTCTAAGTTGTAGTTAGCAAAATAACATTGATTGAACTCCCAAAACAGTGCATGAAAAATCCTACAGTCTAGAATGACTAATAGCTTTGCAGTGTTCCTGTAGATTATAAAAAGGTAAGTAAATCTGAAATATCTGTCCGCCTTTTAAAAATAAGCATATTCTTAACCCCTGCTACAGATGATTCTTGCTGCAGAGCCTGAAAATGTGTGCCTATAGTAGAAAGTGTATGTCTGAGGTTATCCCAGCATTCTGAAAATTTTTCTTCTCAGAATATTTTGCAAAGTCAGGTGTCTATATAAGCACCCATGGGTTTCCGTCAAATAAGATTACTTCCTGTCCTATCAGGAAATGCTCAGGGCAACGTTATAGAAATGATTAAGTAAACCTGCTAGAGACAGTCTAAATTTAGTTGGGATAATACATATAATACAAGCATTGCACATTTCTGTGATATAATTACTGTATATGTGAGACTTGTTTTAAAAATCTGGAATGGATATTTTTAAATGCTTAATAGCAGGAAGATCTGGAGGTTTTGTATACTATAATTATACACAGTTGTATGAAACAAAGGAACAAATCAAATAGAATTTTAATGAAGTGACTATTTAATATAGGCCTACTTGTTTTCTTTTTCTTGCCTCCTACTCAACACTCTTGAGCAGCATTTCAACTTCTCATGTCTTTTGAGATAAGCCATTTTTCAAAACATCTTTTAATATTAAAAATATTCTGCCTGGCCCTCCCTGGTGGCGCAGTGGTTAAAGCACAACACTGAGAAACTAAAGCCACTTCACATGAGTTCGATT